ACCGAAGAGCCATTTGTAAATTTGACAGGAAGAGTTTATTTAAGTTGCTTTGCTTCATGCTCCCTTAGGCCTCAGGAATTAAGGACCCTTCCACTTGAAAGTGTCCACGGAATTGGGCAGGACTCAGTGGACAGCCAGTAAAGCATGATGTGTTCAGAGAGCTTTGGGAAAGAGTTGAGATTGCCTAATGCAACTCTGTCCAAAGGCCCCCTTTAACTTTCAGGTTGCAGCATTATGAGAGCAGAGAGTTTGTGCAGCAATTTAAGCTCACTTGATCAGTTATGTGAGATAGGGTTAGATTTAGGGTTGCCAGATAACTACAGAAAGCCAAGGAAACAACCAGTTCATTGGTGGCATGGTGGTTACACATAAGGCTGCAATCCACCCAGTCAACTGTTTGAAACTACCAGCTGCTCCTTGGGAGAAAGATGAGGCTTTCTACTCCCATAAAGAGTGACAGTCTTGGAAGCCCACAGGGGAAGTTCTGCCCTGTGTTAGAAGGTCTCCATCAAGTTGATTCAGACTCAATGGCAGTGAGCATGGTTAAGTTTGGGTTTGGGTCTCCCGAACAAGGAAACCCAGTGGCACTGTACACTGAGTGTTCGACCACGGACCGCAAGGTTGGTGCTTCAAACCCACCAGCTTCTGGAGGCAGAAAGGAGGTAATCAGTTTCTGTAAAGGTGGCAGTCACGAAGACCCTATTCTGATGCACTTGGGGGCCACCACCAGTTAGTGTCGACTCCATAGCAACGGGTTTGGTTTTTTTCGTTTATGCATTGAACGATGCTCCAAGTAAAGTTCCTGGTGGTTGAATTGCTTAACTTTAAATCGGCTTCGAAGTGCAGGGGATGAGTCAGTGTTGAGGGGAATTGGTAAGGTGTCGGTTTGACTAGTTAGTCCAAAGGCCTTCAGGAGAAACCAACATGGGAAAGACCCAGGGATCCTTGCCAGGCAGACCGTGCAAAGAATGGAATTCTCTGGGTGTCCATGGCCCATAGGTAGGGGAAGCTTAATTGAAATACTGTTTTCAGAAAATTGGGCTGTTATGTTGTCAATAACTAGAAAGCACAATTCAAACGTGATTGGTTTTAGGGAGTTTTGTTTGGCTTTGTTTTGCTTGTGTTTTTGTTTTCATAGAAGATGACATTCCATCCCCTCTGACCCTTGTCTAGGGATGTGACTAGCCTCCTATCAGATGGCCAGCATTGTAAAGTCAATTATGGAAGATGTTGTTGAGTTAACATGTGATAACTTATCATTTGATCTCCCTCTTGATGCATTTTAAAGTTGCTTCGGTTTTTAATATTTTCTGCTCTCTCTTCAATTGGGGTTTTTTGTTTTGTTTCATCATTGTTGGTAGGATCAGGGTGTTTTGTTTGGTCATTGTTGTTGGGTTTTGTTTGTTTGTTTGCTTACTTGCTTGCTTCCTGTTTGTGTTTTGTCTGTTTTTCCATAGTTGACATGTAGGAAATGAAAATATAGGTAGATCTATAGAGACAGGAACTGGATGGATAATTGCCTAGGGGCATGGCAGAGGAGGGTGTGGGGAAAGGGGCGCTAACAACAAGTATGAGAAGAAAATATTCTGCAATTGTGGTGATAATTGCACAACTCTTCTTTATATGATTAAATGATTAAATTGTATGATGTGAGAAATATATGCCAATAAAATGGCTTTTTAAAAAAATAAAAGAACCTGGCATTCCATTGCCTCATAATGGTGGAATATTGCAATATTGGGTGCATGTGAACTGATCATATACTTATATGTTGTGTCCTTGAAAAGCAGCCCTGGGTCGCTGTGGGTGAAATATTTGATTGCTATCTGAAAGTTTTACCATTCGAATCTGCTAGCTGCTTCGCAGGAGAAAGAGAAGGCTGATGGCTCCTTGAAAGATTTACGAGCTCAGAAGTCCTATGAGTCCAAATGGCCTGGGTGGCAGTGACTGACTGTCCTGTGTGAAACATTGACCATAGACAGTGAAACGCTGGCAAGCTAGCAACCCAGCCTGACTTATCTGGTCTCACGTCTTCCACCTCGGCCAGGGAACAAGCGCACCGCTTTTCTGCTACTGTGAGTGGAAAGCGTTTGGGTTTTCCTTCTCTGACAGGGGTTTCCACCTTGTGCAAGTTCCGTCTTTTGCAGGGTGTGTGGCATTTGGGAAGGAATCCTGGTGGCACAGTGGGTTGGTTACACGTTGGGCTGCTAACTGCAAAGTCAGCAGTTTGAAGCCACCCGCTGAGGTGTTGTAGGGGAAAGATGACGCTTTCTACTCCTGTGAAAAGTTTTAGTGTCTGAAACCCACAGGGGCAGTTCTACTTCATCCCGTGGGGCTGCTATGATTCAGGATGGAATCCAGGGTGGTAAGGGATGGTTTTGTGGTCCCTTTTATAAAGGTTCTAGATAGCCTGCGGTACACACTAGATCCGTCCATTGCCGTAAAGTTGATTCTGGCGCATAGTGACCCGGTGGGACACAGAAGAACTGTACCATCAGGTTTCCGGGGCTGTAAACTTTTACTGAAAGCAGATTGCTACACACTTCTCCCATGGAGCACCTAGTGGGTTCAAATTGTCGACCTTTCCCTTAGCAGCCAACCACTGTCGCCACTGTCCTGCCAGAACGCCTTATGGAAGGTTGCTGCGGCAGCGGCGGCTGTTAGGTGTCACCAAGGAGATTCGATGAGTGGCGACCGCATGCACAACAGAAAGAAGCCTCGCTGTCCTACACGCCGTCCTCATAATTGTCCTCCTGTTTGAGCCCCCTGTTGCAGCCTCCGTGTCAATCCATCTCATCCAGGGTCTTCCTCTTTTTGTTGCCCCTCAACTTTAGCAACCCGGACGTCCAAAATTTTCCAGAAACTGGTTTCTCCAGGCAACGTGTCCAAAATACATGGGGCAAAGTCTCGCTGTCCACGCCTCTAAGGAGCATTGTGGTTGGACTTCTTCCCAGACGGATTCGTTTGGCTTCTGGCAGTCCCTGGTCCTTCTGGTGTTCTTTTCCAGCACCGCCATTCAAATGCATCCATGCTTCCCAGGGCTCCCCTACTCCATGGCCAGCTTTCACGGACATATGAGATGATGAAAAACACCATGGTTTGGGCTATAGAAATCATTGGAAAATTGTTCAAGGAAATGATACAACTTACTAATGTATAGAAACTGGTGAAGAGCTTTATTCCAAGATGTTATTAGTTAAGCATGATGGGAATAAGGAAAGATAAGAAAAAGCAAACTAGCTTACTGGAAATTTTCTGTCCGGAATGTGATAGAAGAAATCAGAAAAAGTCAATGCTTACTAGCTCTTCCAGGGTGTCTCGTCAGCTCTCTCGTACTACAAATGAGGAACTGGAAGCTAATAGGTGAAGTACCTTGTCCAAGGCCAAATGGCTACTAGTGACAGAGCAAGTACTACAGCCCTGAGTGCCTGCTGCTTAGACCTGCATCGTTCACAGTGATGTCACAGGGTCGCAGGAATGAGTCCAGCTTTGGCTTACCTCTGGGTTAAAATCACAAACCATTGAGGTGCCAGCCATGCACCGGTCGAGGAGAAGGTCTTTCGCTAGTGTCACCCAACCTTCAGAGAGGGATGAGATAAATTATCATCTTGGGAGACCCCTGGTGATGAACAGTTAACCCATTCAGGGGCTAACTGACCGTTTGAAGGTTTGAGTCTTTCCCAAGAGTCAAACTCTTGCACATCCTGCTTGGTAAGTAGAGGGATAGCAAAAAGAAGAGGACCCTCAGCAAGATGGATTGCTACAATGGCTGCAACCGTGGAGTCCAGCTTAAGAACAATTGTGAGGTTGTCGCTGGACTGGCCAGTATTTCATTCTGTTGTACCGAGGGTCACTCTGTGGGCATTAGTGATTGAAAACCCGATGGAGCACAGTTCAACTCATAGTTCACAAGTGGCCATGAGTCAGAATTAACTTGATGACAGCTAGTATCATGGGGCATAAAGTCAGGGCTGTCGTGAGGCTGTGCTCTGCGGGGAACTCGCCGCTAGCAGCTTACAACCCTTCACAGTTGCTGCATTGGAAGGGTCGTCCCTACTACCTGGTGATACCTGGAGTCTGCCTGCCTCTTGAGCTGCTGCAAGGAGAGGAGCCACAAGAAGTTCAAGGGAAGAAAGAAATATGAAGATGCAGCAAAAATCCCCCTCCAATTCATTCCTAGTTATAAATCTGCTGTCCATTTCTGAAGCAACAAGAGTGTTTTCAAAGATGTTATTAGTTAAGAATGATGGGAATAAGGAAAGATAAGAACAGTAAGGAGAGTCTCAGATGGCATTTGCTTTGGAAGGTGGTAAGATGCTAAAAGGACCGATCCCTGGGGTAAGCCATTATGCTTGGCACGGTAGAGGCTTGCCAAAGAGTAAGGAGACTCAGAATGAGATGGAGTGGCACGGGGCTCAAACATAGCATCCCTTGTGAGGATGATGCCGGCCAGGCTCTGGTTTATCCTGTAATCGGCAGGTCACTGTGAGCAGGGTCAAGCCCGGGCCCCTAACGACAGCAATCGGATCTAACTGGTGAAGGAAAGGACGCTCACGTTAGACTTGAGCTCTCAGCCAGGCCTCTCCATGTCCAGTTCGTGACTTGATCTTGCCTTTTTTGGGTATTGTTTTTCCTGTTTGTAAAATGAGGTAGATCCGTGTGTGCTGTTTGGAAAGTCTTTGTGGTTCTTCAAAATATATAGAAACATGACATTCAGCTGGGGTTTCTCTGTGCTGCCAGCCATCAGGCCATCTTGTTGACAGGCAGGTGAAAGGTATGTTCCTGGCCTTCCGTTTAGCACGAGACATCAGTTTGCTCTCAGCAGGACAGAGTGGAAGGAAAAGGGACTTACGAACGTTTCACATGGAACGATTGGTACCTAATGATCCGGGTAGATGGAAAGTGCCATGTGGAACCCCGGCAAAGAGGGTGTCATTTAGGGTGGTACACAGATACCCAGATGACCACACCGTGTCAACCCACTGTTCATTGTCTTACAGGTAGACTTGGGCCTTCTGCGCTTCGTCACAGCTGTTGGGACACAGGGAGCTATTTCAAAGGAAACCAAAAAGAAATATTACGTCAAATCTTACAGAATCGACATCAGCTCCAATGGGGAAGACTGGATCACCATAAAGGAAGGAAATAAACCTGTTGTGAGTTGGGCAGCCACCCCTGCACCCATTTCCTCTTTTAAATGGATGATCGATTTTTCACTTGTTTGTTTGGGGCGGGGTGGTGGGGGGAGCTCAGTCTGACCTGCTTTATTTTTTAATTGATTTAGAATGAGAAGTGCAATTAGAGGTTTCAGCCCGACCAAAGTATCTCATGTTCCCAGTGCAGAAGCAAAAAAAGGAAGTTATACAGATGTTTCCAAGAAAAGTCAATACCAGCCAAATTAAGTGTCAGACTCAAGAATCACTTGAAATAGCTCCACAGGGACCTGGTCTATGCATAAGATAATACTGTCTTCTGGTAACCTAGAGCCACGCCACGCCCCTTCCCCACCCTCACTCTGTGGTGTGGGGTGGGTGTGGGTGTGGGTGTGTGTGCACGTGCATGATTTCCATTCTCTCTGATAGATTCAGCCTTTTTTGGGGGCTCTATCTAATAGACCAGTTTTGGAAAACTTCTTTTCATCTACCCTCTGTGGCTCACAAACTAATTTACAAGTGTATTTGGCTGCTTCTGCTGAGAACTAATAGAACTGGAGGTATTTCATTCCATTTCCTCAGATCACACAAATGCCTCCTCACTGTGTTGAACCAAGGAGCCAACACAGACCCAGCCGTCCCTGGGGCCCTCTGCCCTAAATCATTTGGCACTGGCGTGTTTTTCTGAGCCTGCTTATTTATTTGAAGTTATGCTTGCTCTGATTTACTCATCAAAAGATTTCTGGGAGCTCATACTCACAGTTTCCCCCCAAATTAAAACGTGCCTCCAGAGGTAGATTAAAACAGAGGGAATGGATGAAACAAGTAGGAAAGACTTCAGGGAACGTGAAATGACGGTTTGGGAGAAGGCCAATTAATATGTCCTTGTCTCCCTTTTGAGCATTCCAGGCCTGGATTTTCCCCTTGTGGCTCTAGGTCTAGGAGTGAGGAAAGTCTTCGGGAGTCAGGGCAGAAGGATGGCTTCCCTTTGATTGCCTTTAGCCACCATTCTCCTTTAGAGCCAGACAGGGACAGTGGAAAGAGAGATCTGGAGACAGGCAAGTTGGACCTCTTGTCTGGCTGGCAAAGAAGACCCTGGAAATCACTCTTCGTGGAGATACAGCAAGGCAATCGTGACACCCATTTCCATAGCAGATTCTTGTTTCAGGATTAGATTTCAAAACATAATTTTCATTCAGTCCCAAAATGGAGATTCCAAATGCTCAGGATATACCCATAATAAAAAGAAATCCAGATGATAGGAAGAATGGACACTAGGCCTCCTTTTAAAAAAATAAGTCCCAGGTCTCCCCGAGGTTGTCTCCTGCAGCTCTGTGTGGATCATTTCTCCAGGTGGACTGTGAGCACACATGGGTGTGGAAGAGGGCACACTCATGGCTGGCCTCAGACACATGCGATCCGGAGCATCCGGGCCCACAGGTGAACTTCTGGCCTGCAGGACGGCGAGAAAGAGGAAAGAATCGGCAGAGATGAATACATTGAATTTCTCTGAGATTCCCCTTGAGCCAAAATAAACCAAACAGCCAGCTGGGGGTCCCATTCTTGTTGGCCACTCTCCACCTCGGGGCCTTTCAACCACTGTGTCTTTCCCACTCTCCTGGGCAGAGGAGGAGAGGCCACACACACCCCTCTACCCCCACCCCCCTAGAGAGCAGCATTGGACGAGTAGCCCCCTTTCTGTCGAACGGAATCTGTATATGAATGTTTACATAGATTTTTGGAGGACATAAAATCCCCTCCGTTGGAGCAGAATGTACCACCCCCCACCCCCACCCCCTGCCCCTCCACCTCTGTTCCAGCGCTCAGCAGACTGCTGACTTCTCTCTGAAGGGAACATGGTGACCCTTTAAGAAGGCCCCTTCCAGACAGAATGACCCATTATTCTTTGTCACACAAGAATGCTGCCAGACAGTTGTTTCCCAGAGAGAGATGCAGGAAGGAGGACAGAAATCCAAAGGCCATCACAGATGAGGATAAAGTATGACATTAAATTTTCTCCAGAAAAGGGTTAGGCGAACAAGCAGCTTCCTAAAGTTGAAGACCACCTTAAAGGAAATGGAGTAAAACTGCTACCCGAGGTCGACAAGCCATTTCTCCTAGGAGAGGAGCGCAAGCCCAGGGCCCCATGGGTCGGCTCCACACAGATCTACCTGGAAAGGGGAGAAATCTCCGTTTCTCTGTCGGACCTCCATAATGCTCTAGTTGCACAGCCTAGGAGGTGAATTATGACTCCGGTATGCAGAAAATCATGGTGGTAGGCATAAAACTTGGAAAGACTCATTTCATTGATAATCTGTAAAACGGAAATATTTTCTGCCCCACCTGAGGGAAGTGTAGTGCCGGAATGTTCTAACATCGTAAATGACCTCCATTCCTCAGTGGTCATGTTAGCCAACACTCCTGCAATGCTTAGCCCAAGGCAAAGCAGTCCCAGAAGGTCCTGTCTGGGGGAAGGCATTCATATCTGGCACTCAGTGCCTTTGCAGTTCCATCCCTACCTCTCTTATTATCCCTGACTCATCTGAAACACAGAAGTACTGGGAAAGTTGATGTCTAGCTCGGAATCATTCATAACTGAGATTCGAACTTGGCCACGAGAACATAATTTTACCAATAACCGAAAAAGACTAAGCTCGTTACTTAATGTCAGCGATAAGATCTCCCATTATGGCATGGAGACAAAAGGCAGGAGACTACTGGATCTAGCTGGATCTTGCTAGCTGGGAACCTCGCCTAGAATTCCAAACAGCCAGCCCCTACGCGGAACTCAAAAGGAGCATTCCATATGAAGTCCCTGGGGAAGTAGCACCGTGAGCATTCTCACGGAATGTCTAGAGTCTTCTGCAGGTCCTGATAGTAAAACTAATAACTCTCCATTTAATAGGTTCTGGTCTGGAGCCTGAAAAACAAAATCCCTGGGAGAAGTGCTTTTTAAGATTCCGGTTGTTCTAATCACCCAGGAAACGGGACAGATGTTTAGGAAAGCGTTCAATTAGATATGATTCTCTCTGATTGCTTTGAGAAAAAGAATCCTGTAGTAGCGTGGCTAGTCATGACGGCCGCCTCAACCTTGATAGGCAATACCGAAGTGGCAGAGATTTTTTTTTGCCAGCATGGTGGAAAAGATATTTGGGGCATTGTTTGAAATCCAGGAGTTCTGCCCATTAAAGGGCCTTTCTTTGTCCATATAGATCTTTCAAGGCAACACCAACCCCACAGATGTTGTGTTTGGGGTTTTCCCCAAACCACTGATGACTCGATTCGTCCGAATTAAACCTGTGACTTGGGAAACAGGCATATCGATGCGATTTGAAGTCTATGGCTGCAAGATAACAGGTAAGCCCCACTTGTAGGCTTGCCGGTGGCACTTCCTACAAATTTTTAAATATAGAGAGGGTAATTTTGTATGGTTGTCGTGGTTTTCGTGGCGGGAGTTAATAGCGTCTGTTTGGGAATGAGATAATTCTGGGTTCCCATGTTGTACCCCTCATTAGCTTGTTTCTTTAGGCTGTGTAGGGGCCTTTCAAAGCTTCAATCGTCTCTCTGAAAATAGTCATAATACTATACTCTACACCACACGGAGCTCTTGTGACTGTGAATAGAAGCAAAGCCTGGAGCGCAGCCCTGTGGGGAGGCCCACACATCCGTTCAGGGGTGAAAAAAGATGCTGGGCGGTGCTGGGGTGAAGCATTTGTCTGGGAGAGGACAGGTTTAGTGGTTCAAACCCACCCAGGGCACACAGGAAGACAGGCCTGACGGTGTGCTTCTCAAAAGTCACAGCCTTGCATGCCTCTCGGAGCCAGGCTTCTCTCCAGGAGAGGGTGTCTCGTGAGTAGGAATCACCTCTGACAGCCCCACCCTCAGCGACACCCCGGTCTTCCAGACTCGGCGCAGGGCATGCAGTCAAGCACTGCGTCCCCTGGGGCACACCGCGAGGTCCCGTGCTTTAGCGCATTTCTAATGCCTACATATGCGTTGCTGGAAAATTTTCCCCTGTGTTGTATCATTTCGATTTTGGAACCAAAAGGTGATCCCTAGGACTGCAGTTAAGGAGGAGTTTACTTATGACCGTGTCTCCTTTGACTCATTAATGAGCCTGACAACGTTCTCTTAGATAGGCTTTCTCTGGGTAAGTTTGATAAGTCTTTCTAGTTTGTTTTTCTTTTAGTTAGTGTTTTCCAATGCTAACAGAACTGTCTAAAATCTCTGTCAACTTTAGCATCTCTCTATTTGAGAGATGATGAAATTTAGTTAACTGAGAAGTTAAGCTGATTTTTTCCAACGGACCAGGTTAAGAAGATGTAGAAGTAAAACTTTGCCTCGATACTGACGACCTGACTATCATTAATCCTGCTCGTACTTGCCCATGTCTCTTCCTGTGAGGCGTTCGGGGATGTGAAGTGAACCACAGGACCATGAGAATTCCTTCCATTTAAGTAAATACTCACACATTGCCAAACTTCTGTAACAAAAAGAAGTTCCACGGAAACTTCTTAGTAAGCTGAAAAGTTCAAAAATAAAAATCAGTAGCGATTCACCGACGAATTGTTAAAAGTTAAGTTTCAAAAGCTTATGAACGTACTTAGTGCCGTATATACTCGAGTGTAAGCAGACCCGAATTTCAGCCGAGGCACCTAATTTTACCACCAAAACTGCATTAAAAATGTGCTGAAAAACTCGGCTTATACACGAGTGTATACGGTAAGTCTAAGGAGGGCATTCCGTTTCTACCCCATGAATGCCAGCACTATTGGTTTTGTGTTCGCCGTTTTAATACAGTTATGTTCTGGAGTGGGAGCTACCAACCTGACAGAGAGAACAGACTAACGAAGGGAAAGGGGGAGGCCATCTCCTGGGATGGTCACTATGAGCTGGCCAGCCCTGGGGAGAAGAAAACAGAACAAAAAACAAAACAGTAGATTGACAATACTAGGAAAGCCAAACAACATCAGACAAACAGACCAATAAAAAGCTGCCCTTGTTCACAGGAAGGCCCGTCTTGGAAATGAAAGACTGCCGTGTGATTTCTGACCCAAATCCTATTTAGTCCCATCCCAGAGACAGATGTGCTTACTGCTTTACAATCTAAGACTTAGAAAGTCGAAGGCCTCGCAGGCAGAGATGAGGTCGACAGGGGTTTGGGAAAAGAAGGAGCCTTGAAAAATTAGCGATAGGCTTGGTTTTGTTTTCAATCAGCAGTGAGATGAGAGAAAGTTCTAGGTCATTTTGAGAGCAGTGCCAATTTGAGAGTCTACTCGTAAATCCATAGATAGAAACAAGGGGACTTAAGGTCAGGGTGGGAATTTTTGGCCTGTTCCTCCAACCTTATCTCATGTCACTGAATTAAAAAAAAAAAAAGTAAACTTCATAATGACTACAAATGTGTTTATCTGGACTCATGAGACTCAGGATTTATGTCACATCCCTTAAGCTAAATAAAATACTTATTAACCCTGATTTTTTTTTCACAAGGACTTCGTGAGAGTTAATTCTGGGAGCATCTATCTTCATATATAAAGAAGGCAAATGATTTATTGTGTGAAAAAAAAATTAGTTAAATGGCCCAGCTATTTAATAAAGCCAAAAATAACAAAAACCCACTGCTATCAAGTCAGTTGTAACCCACAATGACCCTAGGAGACGATAAATCATTACAGGAACAACCTGCCCACACTTTCACCCGTGGGAGCAGGCTTTGGGTTAGAACCACAGACTTTGGGGCCGGAAATTTAAAATGGCACACTTCCTTCCATATTTGCATACGATGTATTTGATAGTTATTTTGAGTAGCTAATTTAAAAAAATAAGGTAACCACACTGCTTTTAAGCTCATAATGCTAGTCTCAGTCATAGTCCTCCGTATATTATCAGTATATTAATTTTTCTTTTCTTTTTCCCATGTTAAATGGGTTTTAAGCTTTACAAATAAAGTTGCCACATAAAGTAAAAGAAACCCAGTTATAGTTGATGCAGATAAACAATGAATAATTTTTAGCCCAAGATGCCTCACCCTTAATTGGGGACAAACTTAGAATATATATAGATTTCCAAACTCTGTCTATATTTAAATTTAAATACAGTGACTGTGTTAACTATATTTAAATACATTAAATATAGACAGAGTTTGGGAATATTTGCATATTTAAATATATTAAATACAGACAGAGTCTGAAAAAGCCAACATGTGTAATAGCAGTGGCTTACATGGATAGAAATTATGCAAATCAGCCAAGACTTGATTCCGGGCTGTCTGCTTAGTGAAAGTCCGATCACGAGCGAGTGATTTCAACCCTTCAGTCTCCATTTCCTGATCTAGAAGATGAATCGTCTTGTAGCCATAGGAGGGTGACATGAGAGAATATTTGTAAAGCACCCATTTCCAAGTAAGTTTTCTCTAAAGAGTATACGTAAATTAAAGCAATATATGGTGGCCAGTATACTGAACCTAGAATCAGCCCCAGCAGGCAGAGGCTTTAATAAGGCAATAACATCATATTTTTCTGCCTGTCTTTCAAGCAGGCAGTTTTCTTCTTGTCGAGGCCACAATCCCTTGATGGAGCGGAGATTAATGAAAGAACAATGGGGTGGTAGTGCCTCTCTAGACTCGGGGGCCATGTTTGCAGTTTTCAACTGTGTCCTGGGTGGCTCATTTTGAATGATTGGCAGTTCTAACCTGTGCCTCCTGAGAAACAAGTAGCCAGACTTCAGAATTGAACTTGCTCTTTAGTTAACACTGTGTAGGCAATTGTAACTCAGTCTACCTGGGTATAAGGAGCCCCAGTGGTGTCGTGGGTTTGAGTTGGGCTGCAAACCACAAGTTCAAACCCACCAGCTGCTCCTTGGGAGAAAGATGAGGCTGTCTGCTCCTGTAAAGATCTTTCAGCCTTGGACACGCACGAGGCAGTCCTCTAGGTCCCTGTCTCCGTCCTATAGCGTCACTGTGAGCTGCCATGAACTCAATGGCAATGAGTTTTGTGGGCCGTTATACCAAGATTTAATAACAACAATAACCAGCTGTCAAGTTAAAGCTACCATGCGAACAGCTCGTCTGACTTCCAAGGTCTCCAGAGCCCCATGTTTTACTTGTTTATTTGACTGAAGTAAATATCTATCGAAGACCCAGCCCCGTGCTTTTCACCAAAATGTTTAGTTCAAAAGTCATCTTTGAGAAAGATAATGAGTCTAGAGTATCTGATGGTGAGTCACGATTTAGAGCTATCGAGAAAGTGAGACCAGAGTAAACGATTCTGCTGTCGAGATCACTGATAAAGGTGCATTTTTGCAAGCAGGCTTCATCATTTGCCGAAGATGAAATTTTATGGGAGTTATCATGTAGGGCTATTGCTTGATGAATGAGGACATACTCTGGCCTCTCTCTTCTTGTGCTTGCGAACCAGACATCTATTAGCTGGTCCTTCCACACGTGTCAGCGGGCTCCTGTGGGCATCATACTTCACGGTGAGGATCTGGGTAGCACCACGTCTGGAGGGACTGCCTGAGTCACCCGGGAAGGCGACATTGCCCTCATTGTGCTTCTTCTGTTGAGTGCAGCTCCTACCTTCAGCCAGTTAACTGAGTATTTGCCTTACCAGTCTATGTACACAGAAGCTGAGCACAGAGATTTTATGGTCAAATTAAAGGTAAAGTCCGAAATTAACCACTTCAATCCCACAACACAGAACACATTCTTTTCTTCTTCCCATGTAGAACAAATTGTTGATCTTTACAAATAAAGTTGCTGGATAAAGTACAAGATAATCAGTTAACGTTGATACAGATAAACAATTGTTTCTAGCCTAAGGATGTCTCATACTATATTGGGAACATACCTATAATGTTATATATTATTATGTATATATGTAACACATATATAATATATGTATATGTAGGTTGCTTATTTGAAGTTCATAGTTAACCAGATAGCCTGATTTTATTTTTATTTTACTGTTGGTTAGATTATGGTAGTGGTAGTTTATCCTAAATCTGGCTATCCTATTTCCAAAGGTTGTGGCTATATCCAAGTCACATGGGGCCAGCCTGCTGTGGAAGAACAGTTACAACCTAGTGTTTTGTTCAAGCCCTTAATTGTGACTATACTGTTTATCGTAATCATTGTTGAAAAATGAGTCACATGGTTTTCAGTAAGAAGCCCATCCTGGCTCTTCTCCATTGCCTCGCTGGATGAGGCAGGCAGACAGAAGGACAGGCGTCTAACAGTGCCCTGCAGAGAGGTGGGCTGCATAGGGGTTGGCATCGCTGGATCTTGGGGCTATGGACACTGCTGTCCCGGCCAACCCTGTGCGAGAGAACGGACTTTATTCTGGTCAAGGCACTGCTCTCTTTACAGTCTTCAAGTTAACTCTAGTTGTCTCCCAGTGGTAACATCTGGTACCCATTACCAGCTAAACATGACTTTTATAAAAGTTGGTTTGGACTCAGGCAGGTGTGACCACAATGGCCAAAAATGTGACTTCTATTTTTGACACTTCAAGTTTCATAGTCCCTCCGTAAAATCGCTTTTGTAAATCTTTTTTCTAATTGCCATTGAGTTCGTTCTTCGTTTTCAGATCCCAGCCTGGAGCACTTGTAGGGTCTGGGTTACAGGAAAGGGCATCGGCCTTTTATTGTATCAATCAGTTGTTTCATTCAACAAATATCTGTCGGGAAAATGCACTGGATAATGAACCTCAGAAAGAGGAACAAGTAACTTGATGCATCCCCCGAAACCTTAAAATCGGGTGGGGAATCCCCATCGAAGCACAGCTGTTCAAGGAACTGGCTGTGAGGCACAGTCCACATGAGAAATACAGGTGAAGGGCTGTGGTGGTCCAACAAAGAGAACCCCGTTCAACTGGAGAAATTAAGGGGCATGGCATTCAAAATTGGCCAAGATTTGAAGAGTCAGATAACGGGGTTGGCAAAAGAATGTGGAATTGCTAGTGGGGAGGCAAGAAGGAGAGAAAGCCCCTCCCCAAGTGTGGACACTTCACCTCAGTTGACTATCAGGTATGTGTGAAAGGCGGTTCAGTGTTAGAATGCTATATCAGAGCCAGGTTGTGTACCAGCTAACGCACCTCATTAGCAAGCCACCAGCCTCCATCAGTGGACGTTTCGGTGTTGCTATGGTGCTGCATATTCCCCTGAACTGAGCTTCCAGATGAGGAGGAAGTAGGCAGAAAGACTTGGCAATCTACTTTCAAAATCAGTCACTGAAAACCCAGGGGAGTGCAGTCATCAGAGCCCGGTGTACATGGGGGTCCCCCACGAATCAGGCTGGCATGATGGAAGCCAACTGCAACAACACTGGATGCCTGCAGAGAGCCCTTGAGAAGCCCTTGCCTGCCTGGTTGAAACCCCAAGCTCACTGATATCAAATCCATGCCGATTCACAGTGACCCTAGTGGACAGGCTAGAACTGCCCCTGTGGGTTTCTAAGACTGTTACTCTTTACAGGAGTAGAAAGCCCCCTCTTTCTCCCTCGGAGAGGCTGGTGGTTTGAAACTGCTGACTTTGCAGCTAGCAAGCCAATGTGTAACCACTGCACCTCCAGGGCTGCCCTGCCTGGTTGGAAAGTCCGTGAAAAATCCCTGGACAAGAAGCCACTCGAGGTTTGAGCTAAGAGCTGCATGCGCTGAGATATGGAGCTCAGATGGAAAGCAGGATGCTGCCAAAAGAACTGGAGACTGCATGCGGATTCCAGACACTGTTCCAGGAAAAACAACCTGGGATAAGATTCAGTAGCAGAACTGGAAGGGAACCGACACAACAGGGCAGAAGAGATGACAAGACAGGGAGTTGGTGCTTGGGGACACGGCAGATACGCATGGATCCTACAGGAGCCGGTGCCAAGGGAAAGAGGCTGCTGGCCTCTGAGCCTGGTCTGCTTGGATGACCATGGGACACGCTTGTGGAAAGAGTCCTGCTGCAACCAGCAATGTGGGCGGAGAGTACGGCAGGGCATGAAAACAGGCACTGTCCTTCCATGCTCCAGCCCACTGTCACCTTGTCTGCGAAGCCCCTTTACCTTGCCAGGTTGAGTCTACCATTTCCCTCTTCTCCGCCTTCTTACCAGTCACCCCGTCTCTTCCGTCTCAAGGGCACCTCGTGGGTGTCAGGAGAACGATGGTCCTGATGTTTCGCAATGGCTGTGATCTTTCAGAAGCAGATCACCAAGTTTTTGTTTGGTTGATTTTTGCCTGCTTTCTTTTTACTTTTCCCTTAGCTAAGGGAGCTCTCTGGCCCCTGGAATTACTCAACTCCTTCTCTTTAATCTAATATAAAAAAAAAGGAATCTTGGTATTGTAGTGGGTTATATAACTGCTATCCACAAGGTCAGCAGTTCAAAACCTCCAGCCACTCCAGAGAAGAAAGGTGAGGCTCTTTCCTGCTGTAAAGATTTACAGCCACAAGAGCAGGTCTACTCTGTTCTATAGGCTTGCTAGGCGTCAGACCTGACTTGGTGGTAGTGAGTTGGGGTTTGGGCTTTAAGCTACTATAAAGGACCCCTGGTGGCAGTATTCAGGAAGCATTGGACTGCTCACAGTCAACGGTGGTTCAAAGGCACCAACCACTCCACGGGAGAAAGAGGAGGCTGTTTGCTCCCATTAAAGCTGGGCAGTTTCAGAAATAAAACACAGGGTGGATTGGAGTCAGAATGGACTCGATAGCAGTGGGAGGGAGTCTCTAAGGAACAGTGGACTTCTACTGGGCAGGGCTGTACTTTATAAAGAATGTCTGGAGGCCAAGGACAATAGGACATCAACAGTTTGGCATTCAGCTGAAAAGAACCCAACATGTGCATGCCATGTTTGACTGCAAACTTTTTTTGCTGGAATGTGAGTTCGGGAGAGGAGTTCTGAGAGGATGAGTGAAAGATTGTAGCATGTAAATTAGTACAGAGTTGTTTTTTTGTTTTTTTTTAATTTTTTTTTTTAACATTTTATTAGGGGCTCATACAACTGTTATCCCAATCCATACACACATCAATTGTGTAAAGCGCATTTGTACATCGTTT